AGAGAGAGAGAAGGGAGAGAGGGAGGATATGTGATGTGCTATAATTGGGATCAGAAGTGTCCCCCAAGGCCCATGGGTTGGAGGCTTGGTCCCCGGCCTGTGGTGCCATTGGGAGGTGGTGGCACCTTCAGGAGATGGGACCTAGTGGGAGGAAGTCAGGTGACTGGGGCGTGTCCTTGGAGGGGACACTGGGACCCCAGCCCCTGCCTCTCTCTGTCTCTGCATCCAGGAGTTTGAGGTGAGGAATTTCCTCTGTCACCTGCTCCCAGCATGATGCCCTCCCTTACCCCAGCCCCAAAGGCCACAAGGCCAAGCCACCGTGGACTGAGACTTCTGAAGCTGTGAGCCAAATCAGCCTTTGCTCCTTCTCAGTGGGTTTTCTGAGGTATTTAGTCAAGCAACAGAAAGCTGACGCCTTGTGTCACCACCACCTGAGAACCGACAGGAAAGGACTGGATCTCCACTCACTGTGGCCTTACGGTTCTACCTCCTAGTGCGCCAGAAGCCCTCTGTCCATCGTGCTGATGGGCCTGCAGCACACGAGCGGCTCAGAGGACAAAGGCTGGAAAATGGTGAGTAGAAGACACTTCATGGAATGGCCTTGGTCACCGTCCTCACTCCTCAGAGCTTTCTGTAGCTGTGGGAGCTGCAGTGCGTCACTGGGAATATTCTCTGTGGCATGTTCAAAGTCACTGAATCAGGGAAACACTTGCATGGCCTACCTCTGCCCCCAGACCCACAGTCCCTGGCAGACACTTTGTGATAGGCTGCAGAGTCAGGGCATAGAGAGGAGTGAGCAGGGGGGCCCTGAGACAGAACCCAGACTCACACAAACAAGGATTCAGTCAGATGGGCTTTCCCTGGAGCAGGGACCAATTTCCAGCCTGAGGCCAGAGCCAATGCCCAGGCAAAGGAAGAACAAGGCTATGTTCACCCAGAAGCAAAAAAGGAGAATTCCAAACCCCCAAACTTGCTCTGGTGCTTCCAAATCGCTTCCTTCCTTCCCCAAATGAGAACACACTCACCCACCAACCTCTTCTGAAGCCCCCTCCCCGTCTCCAGAAGGGGGGCATGAGTCCGGAGCCTCTGTGTTGAGCGTAAGTGAGCTCTGAAGCCACCCTTCGCTGTCAGGAGAGATGACCACCTCGTGGCAAGGGCCCCCCGGCTCCCCTGGGGTGGAGGCTCAAAGCTCCAGGCCAGCGTCCACACAATTCCTGCCAGCAGGTAGCCAACGGCCTGGGCACACACCATGGCAGCCACTGGCATCTGAGGTCACTGGGCCTGGCATCTGCGTGTGCCAGAGTAGGCACACCTCACCTCCACTGTGGCGCTCAGAGGCTCAGTTTACCTGACCTGCCCAGGCCGCGATGGAGGTGCTCTGTCCACACATTCTGCATTCAAGAGCAGCCCCAGGGCCATTGCCTCTCTGTGTCATTCCCATCTCCCGTTTCCAAGAGGGTCTGGGCCACCAACATCATCATTCCCTCCTAACCTCTCCCTGGACTGGACAGGAGCAGAGGACCCCAGTGGGCCAGAGAAGGAAGCTTGTGGCATGGGGTCCCACCAATACTTGACTCAGAAGAGCAGGGGAGTGTCTCGACACAGATGTGGGTCTGTGTCCCTGGGCAGGATGGGTGCCCCCCTGATTTTTAAGTGGTTATTTGAAGCCAGGTTCAGTGTGTGTGATGAGGATGTGCGCATGTTCCTGTGACGTGCCTGGATTCCATGGCTCACATACGGCTGTGCTGTGTATATGTGCACACGTGTGCATCAAGCATTTGGAGTGTGATGCCTATGTTTATATGATACTTGTGCCATATGTGCCACGCATCTGCCTCCACATCTGCATATATGTGAGAGTCTGAGTATGTGCACGTGAATGTATGTGCACACATTTGCTTGTGCATGCTGCATACATTCACATGTGTTCATGCAACACAGGTGCATACTGTGTACATGTGTGCACATACCTGGGCACACACATATACATGTGCATGTGTATGCAGGCTTTGTAAATTCAAGTGAATGCATGTATGTAAATGCAATCTATTTGTATAGGTATGCATGTGTATATTTTGTGTGTTTGTGTGTGTGTGTGTGTGTGTGTGTGTGAGAGAGAGAGAGAGAGAGAGAGAGAGAGAGAGAGAGAGAGAGAGAGAGATGTTCTTTATAACAGGAGACCAGGACTCTTCTACCTGATACTCTTGGGCTGTCTTCATAGAGAAAGAGGAAGCTCATGCTCTGCACTCCTGCTTTGGCCTTGTTGGTGATTTCTGGTTCTCCTTGGTTTGGTGTGGGCTGCCAAGTCCCCACTGAGAAGATCCACAGTTCATGAAGAAAGGACAGACATACTCTGGAGGGACAGGGTCCTCCTCGGCAGGCCTCCTCCTGTGTGGCAGGAGTTCCCAGAGGCCCCTGTCCCCGGCTTACATGGCAGGGGACCCAACCTTTTACAAAACATGCTGCACATCTGACAATGCTCATTGATGCTCTCTGGCAGGGTAGCCAATCGCATCCCAATAACTTCCATGAAAGTCATCACAAAGCAATTTTTAAATTTTTATTTAAAAAAAATCACAGTTACAAATATCCGGTGACAAAATGTAGCTCTTCTGGAAAAAAAAAAAAAAGAATGCAAAATGCTGGTGGAGTGAACTCCTTGGGAGTTTGGGGGAACCGAATATCCAGCCGTCACCTCTGCAAATGAAAATCCAGGTGGATTTGCGGTCACTGGGGCTGACGACCATGTGAAGTCACCGTCCAGCAACTGGGTGATGAGGGTGCGCAGAGAACACGCTCAGGTGGAGCCACAGCAATGAGCTAAGCACTGGACGGAGGTTTGTTTCTGCCTTAGAGACATTCGGGTGTGCTGGGGGGCGAGGTATCCGAGGCATCCACAGTCAACGGGAGGCAGCCAGGGTGGCCTGGGGAGTCAGTACCTACTAAGAAGGGCCAGAAGGTGACCGGCACATGGAGCGAGCCTGGCTCCCTGGGAAATAGAGGTTAGAACATTCAGAGGGGAAGCCTGCGAGTGCAAACGCAGCTCAGGATAGGAGTTCTAGAAGGACTTGGAGATCTTTCCCCCACTTTCCAAATTTCACCCTTTTCACAGTCTAAATTCTTCCATGAGGTTGCCTTTCTCTATTTGTGACCCCAGGGGAAAGGAAAATTGTTCCTGATGGTAGGACACAGATTTAACTTCCCTGGATGGCCACAGTGGACCCTGTGCACACAGGAACATGTTCTCCCAGGGGAGAGGCACTGGATGGTCTCAGGACAGAGGAACACATGACCTTCTACAGCGAGCAAGCCTCCTGCACCCCAGCCCCAGGCACATTCTAGACAAGTGTCCGCCCTGGACTCCTGGGAGGGGTGTAGCCAAAGATGCCAGAAATTCACACCAGAAAAAAAGACAAGAAGGACAGCACCTGCTTGCTACACATGGGCATCCATGTTCCTAGGAGCAGTGGCCTTTATTAAAGACACACTTAGGGTGAAGTGACTCAAGAGTTCAATGGCAGAGCGTCCATCTCTGAAGCACTCGTCACTTTACCAAATCCAGCACATCCAACCCTCCCTGTCATGATCCAGATCTATCAATGGCTTGACCAACAGAGACCTTCCTCACTGAGCCTTGTAATTTCAGAGGCTGTAAACGTGCTCTGAGGATCTGCCCAGTGAGTTCAGCACATGGGCATCCTCTCTTCAACGAAATGAATGAATGGTCACGGAGCACAATTCCAAAACGTGCGGCTGGTTCCTAAAAATTTCCTAACACAACAGCTCATGTCTGTTTTTTTTTTTTTTTTGGCTAAGCCAAGGTATTGATGGCTACTTTCCTTCATACCTCAAGTTAGGAACAGGGCTTCCTCTGCCCTCCATGGCTATGTGTATGCTTTAAAATGCCTTAGATGTGAAGATGTGTCCAAGATCATGCACATCTACAGACACTGAAACACCGGATAAACAGCTACTTAACTTTCAAGGGCCACAAGACTGGTATCAGTGGGTGATGATTTCTATAAGATCAAACATGATGTCCAGGATTCAGAGACTAACGGAATTCTCAGGTCTTACATCTTTAACCTAAGGTCACACTTAGTCACAAATAAGGCCTATCTGGTGAGGATCAAAGTCTTTGGTTTTATATGACCGACACTCTCTTTTAGAAACTCCTCTTTTGATGGCTTTGGCCACCATGTTGTCCTCTGCTCTGGTGTGACTATGTCCCCCCAAGTTCATGGACTGGAAATTTAATCCCCACATTCACATGTTGATGGTATTTGGAGGTGGGACCTTGAGAGGTGATGGGGATTAGCATGGGCCAAGAGGATGGGGATCATATGGGATTCGTGGCTTCATAAGAGTGACTCTACCTGGCATGGCTCTCTCTTCACGTGATGCCTTTGCTGTGTTATTATGCAGCAAGAAGCCTCCTGCCAGGTGCTAGCGCACTGACAACTGGGCTTCCCAGCCTCTAGAAGTGTGAGAGATACATTTTTCTTTATAAATTTCTCAGTCTCAGCTGTTCAGTGATAGCAACAGAAAACAGGATTTTTTAAAAAAATAAAAGATGGAATTCTGGCTGCAGCCCCTCTGTGGAGGGTAAACTTCACCTTGAAGCTTGGCCCATGCTCAGTAGATAGCAGCCTGATCACTCTGCTGCCCCTGATGGGACACGGGGTGAGGGCAGCCCGACACCACTATGCAATCTCCCTGCGGAACTTCATCCACTAGTCTCCATCACAGCACAGAAGAACCATTTTAAGACCACCTGCAGGGGAGAGGACTTCAGAAGACGTAACCTCAGCTGATGTACCCCACAGTCCTCATTTCTCGTCTAGATGATGCTTCTGTCCCATAACAGAGAGCAGAAGCCATACCTGGGCTTATGATTGTCAGTGACTGGTGTGTTATTTCGTTAATTGGCTACATGCTTAGACATTGTTCTTTTTTAGGCTTCCCAGCCAGCACTTTCTCACCTGGACAGCTTTTCTCTGGCCCAGGATCCGTCTTGGGCTGTCAGAGTCCTGTTTTAGGGGAAGTCGGTTCCTCTGCCAATCCCTCCCCTTCCTTCATTTCCGAAGTCAGTGCCAACTGGGTGGGAGCCACGGGGCCCTGCCCTCAGGTCTCCAGGGCTTTCTGCGACCCCAAAGACCCCAAGAACGGGAATGACCCAAAAGGAATTTAGAAACATCCGAGAATCCGTCGGCACAAGATCCACCCCGATAAAGGACAGGACCAGTCTGGCAGCCCCTCCAGCCGACATGTCCTCTGTCTTCCTGTGGGACCTTGTTGGCTTGGCGGTTGGTGAGTCCTAGGACAGGTTTTGCTTACGAAGTCACCAGCAGGTCCCCCCGGGGCGGCTCTCTCCCCCAGCAGCCGGAGATGGAAGGGCTGGAAATCGGTGCCTATGAATACATGCTCCTGAGATGGCTCCTGACTGAAGGCAGCGGTGGGCAGGCCCGGGGCTGTTAGTTCACCACGTCGTAGTAGTAATTGCGCAGCCGCAGCTCCACTGCTACGAACCCGGGCCTTTTGTCCACCCTGGAAGGGGAAGAGACCGGGTGGGGGTCAAGGTGCCTGTGAAAAGCCTTTTCCAAGCTGGGCCTTCGCAGGCCCAGATTTCAAGCAGCTGCGCCCCCCGGTGGTCCCCTACGGTCTCTGCGCCCATCATGGGGTGATCCCCAGCCCGTGAGGAATGGATCCCATCTGATCCCACTCCACACCGGCGGAACCCAAATCTACGTTTTTACAAGATCCCCAGGGGGTTCATGTCCACTTTGAAGTTAGAGGAAGATTTTTACTAGAACTCAGAATCTTTTAGACCCTAAGTTCTTGGAATCTCCTGGTGATGCCCGCCACGTGTCTGAAGACACCTCACAGGTGAAGGTGGTGCAGGTAGGTAGTGTCTGACTCGATTTTCTGAAGTCCAAAAACTCTCCTCCCCACACTCCTGCTGAACATGTACCAGTTTTCCGATAGGGGATGTTATATGGGTTCTTACTGAAACTTCTCCCATTTATTGGGTGCCCAGGATTGAACCCAGGGGTGCTTAACCACTGAATCACATCCCCAGCCTCCCTCCTACCCTTTCAAAGGCAGATCTCGACAAGTTGTGTGGTTAGATCCTTGTTAAGTTGCTGAGGCTGGCTTTGAACTTGCCCTCTCCTGCCTCAGCCTCCTAGCTGCTGGGATGACAGGAGAGCATCACCAGGACCAGCAAAATTTCCCTCTTTTCATGGCTGAGACAAAGACCCAAGCATTCTCTATTGCAGATCTTAACAGGACAAGGCCTTTCTCTGAGCCAGTGAGGTGCTGAAGTAAGCAAACTACGGGTTAAGGTTTTTTGCAATCTTGATCTCTAAGAAGACATCTACAGCTATCTCTGCTTTCCGTAACAGGAGCAGAGGTCACAGAACCCTTAGGAGTACAGTCCTACCACATGGGATTGGTTCCAGGACCCCCAAGGACACCAAAGTCCAAGGATGCTTGAATCCCTTCTACAAAATAGTACAGTATTTGCATATAACCTAGGCATGTCCTCCTGTATGCTTTAAATTGCCTCTAAATTACTTACAATATCTAATATGATGTAAATTGTATTTACTATGGGGATAGTCGGACTTTATTGTTTAAGGAATAACAATAAGATAAAGAAGTCTGTACATGTTCAGTGCAGATGTGATATTTTCTATCTATAGAAATCTGATCTGCCGTTGGCTGTACCTGTGAATGGGGAACCCCTGACATTGAGGGGTGACTGTGTTTCTTACAACCTTGAGACTATCCTTGCTTAGAAGTTATTTTTCTCATTTTGCAATACTTTTCACTATAATGCAAGTGGTTAAAGTTGCCCAGTAGGTAAACTAGAACTTGAGGTTAAGCGGTAGACAACTGTCCTCATTTAACCATTCTGACCCGAGACGGCTGCAGTTCCACCTCGTTCAGTCTAGACACACGGGAACAACCACAGAACATGCCCAAGAACCGAGAGTCTCCATTATAAGAGCGGTTTCTGCAAAACCCAAGATGGGTAGTTTTGTCAAATGGCATCAAAATAAATGGTCCTGCCAATATCTTTGGACTAGCAAACATTTCAACTGCAGTTCCTGAGAAGCTAATAGCCCTTCAAACCGTGGCCTCTGGGCCCACAGATTGCTCTTAGAGAGCATGCCCTGGGGCTCCCGGGTGCCATTCAAGCTTTTTGAATGCACCTCAATTCTGCTCAGGGGCTGTGTGGGAGGTAATCAGGGAAGGAAAATGCATTGCACCCAGAATTAGGGATTGACTTTTGACTCTGCCTGTGCTAGGCAGCCTGCGAATGTTATGTGATGACCCTGAGCCATGCTCTGCTGGACCCGACACTGAACCCATCTGCGATCAGGAGAATCTCCTAATACACTGTAGAACCAGGGGTGCACTCGGATGGGACAGCCAACATGGCAGAAGCCAGGATCCCTTCCGCCACCTAGTGGTCCATAAGATCATACCTCCTGGTGACACTGTAGACATCTGTAAACACATTCTATGTCATTAGCACAAAGACAAAAGTCACCCCCAATGCATTCCTAGAACATGTCCATGTCGCTAAGGGACATCTGACTGTATCTTAAAGGGGACAGTCCCTGGCCCTCCCCTATTGTTGTTTAGGAAAGGGCATATCTTGATGCATGGCAAGGTAGAATCTGTGCTTCCTGTTCATGCCAAGTGATGCCATCACCCTCCACAGCTCTTGGGTAAGGTGCCAGCAGTACTGGTACTCACTCGTAGGTCCAGCACAGGTTCATCAGGTCGTACATCTCTCTGGGACACCCTTGAGGGCACCCCATCCGCTCTCCTTTCTCCAGCATGGCGGTAACTTCACTTCCTTTCATCCCCTAAGACATGCAAAAGACACAGGAGCCTTTGAAACACAGTGTTAACCAACAAACCCAAATAACCACCTCACCGCCCAAGACACCAACGAGTATGGGCTGTGTGGTGTCAGTGATGTAAGTCACAAGCCAGGGGCATATCATCTATGAGGTTAGAAGTTAGATCCGGTACACAGATTCGGGGAAGAGCTATATGTGGGGAACAGGGAATGGGGTGTTATGGATTAGCTACAGTGTATCCCCCAAAAGCTCATGTGTGAGACAATGCAAGAACGGTCAGAGGTGCAATGATGAGGTTATGAGAGTCCTAACCTTCTCCATGGATTAATTCACCAATAGGGATTGCTGAGGTGTAACTGTAGGCAGGAAGGGTGTACCCAGGGGACAAGTCACTGGGGGTGTGCCTTTGAGGTTTATATTTTGTCCCTGGTGAGCAGAACTCTCTCTCTTTCTCTTTGCTCCCCGATTCCCATGTTCTGAGCTGCTTTCTTTCACCATGCTCTTCTGCCATGATGTTCTGCATCACCTTGGGCTCAGAGCTGTGGAGTCAGCCATCTGTGGACTGAAACCTCAGAACTGGTGAGCCCCAAATAAAATTTCCCTCCTCTATGTTGTTCTTGTCAGGTATTTTAATCACAGCGACAAAAACAAAACAACCACCACAAAAAGCTGATGAGAACATGAGGATATTCTGGATTTCTGCTCTATTTCCTCCTCTGGGGGCTGGTTTCATGTGTGCTTCATTTGTGAAAACTCACTGAGCTGAATTTTAGGATCCGTATACTTTTGATATTACACTTTGATTAAAAAAATCTGAGAAGTGTAAACGGACTGTAAATGTGTTACTGTCGATAGTCATTGTTTATATTTTAGCTCTAGGGAAACATGGTCTGGATATTTCATGCCTATTCATATGTGTGACATGAAGAAAATACACCGTTCCTCTCAGGTCCGTGTACACTGAGGTCATGTTAATAACCACTGTCAGGAGGTAAGCAGAGACTCAGGGTGCCCAGAGTTCACGATTGGCAGGTTCTTGGGCAGATAATGTGGTGCTTATCCTTTCTACAAGCCACAGAGTTTAGGAAGGAAGTGTGTGGACATGGATGGCTCACTCGATAGGGCTTCTGCCCATAGGAGAAGGCTTCCCACATCAGCACGCCGAAGCTCCACACGTCGCTTTTGCTGGAGAACTTGTAGTAGTTGATGCATTCGGGGGCATACCACTTCACGGGCCACTTCCCGTGGGTCTGGGCCTGAACACAAAGCAGATGGAGAGAAAAGCCACGTGAACCAGGGTTTTATCCCCATTCGCGGAAACCTGGACACAAGCCAAGTGACCATCAGCAGACAGGTGGATGAACCAAATGTCATCTGCACAGACATTCATCTATGAAAAGGAGGGAGGTTCTGATGCCTGCTACAGCACGGGAGAAACCCACGAGCCTCACATTAAATAGGACAGTCGCCACACAGCAAATACGGTATGATCCTGCTTACTCAGAAGGACCTAGAGAAGCCATATTCAGGAGATGTACAGGGGAGAGTGGGAAGTCGCTTAATGGATACAGTTTTAAGATGTGGAGAGTTCTGAAGGTCAGTTGTACAACATGAGCACATGACCAAACAATGCACTTAAAAATGGCTAAGTGGTCAATTTTATGTCACATGCATTTCAACACAATTTTTAAAATGGAGAAGATTGTGACTCACACAATGCTCTGTGCATGTGTGTGTGTGTGTGTGTACATTTGGAATGAAAAGACAATTTTTTTTTTTTGGTGATATTGGGGATTGAACGTAGGCCTTCATGAATGCCAGGTAAGCACTCCACCATGTCCTTAGCTCTGAAATAGATTTTTAAAATCCTATGAAATCTTAAAACGTTAAGCACTAATTTTAGATTTAAATATATATTTTTAAGAATTGGTTGGGTCAAACTGTCAAACTGCTCACTCCTTTTTCTCTTTTCTTGTCTTTTTCTTTCACCTCTTGGCTGCACACGGCTTCACGGAGCATGAAGTTGGCAATGGACCAGCCCAGCCTGAGGGTCAGGTCAAGGTTGCATGCCAACACCGGGCTGCTCACAAGCATGTTCAACTGCAACTACGTGTTGGTCTGTAGTTTTAAGCCAATGCTAATTATTTTAGCATAGGCTATTTGCTGTGCCATTTAGAAAATGGAAATTAAATGCTTTAAACTTCCTAATTAAAAAAAAATCCAGTAGTATTAAGAAGATCAAAACTGTGCACAGGGAAGCCCTGGAGGGTTTGGGGTTAGTACGGTACACTGTTGAGTCTTGTTATCACTCCCTGATGTTCCCTTTCATAGGAACAAAATCTCCCTGGGGTGGTGAGAGGGACATGCTCTCAGTGAAAATTGATTTCATTTCCCTGATGTAGGTCAGCAGTAGCCATCTGGGGATGTCACTATGGAGATGGTAGGATACCCTTAGACTTCTCAAAACTACACAACCAACTATACTGCTGTCTTAATCGTGTGATGCATTATTTTTACATTTTCTGATTTTCAAGGTTGTGAACCATGTAGTGAGGTGTGCTAATTCAAGTTCATTTTGAATTTTGAACCAATAACCAGGTAAACCTTTAACACGTCCTAAACATGCTGAAAAGTCAGTCTCTCTCCATTACTAGCTCCAGCTTCTCTACGGACACAAGCAACTTTGATAGGATCTGGTGTATCTTTCAAGAACAAGCTAGATACAAGCATAAGCGGGTAATATGTATTTTTTGGTAATAAAACTAGGGCATGTGTATTCTGTACCTTACTTTTAATTTCCCTACTTAACCATGCATCTTGGACACAGCTCTAGATTGACTCATGCAAAATAATGTCACTTCTGAAAGTTGCAGTGTGTGCTTCCTAAGAAGCTGTCAGGACTCACGGAGCCAGATTCCTACTGAGAGGACACAAGATGGTTTCCAGGGATTTGCTGTGACAGATCCGATCCTGCTAGAGTGCACAACACTGAGTGTTTATGTTTGCCCTTGTGGGGAGCTGTGGATCTAGGGCACTGTGAATACAGCTGTGACACCGCCCGGAGCAGGCTGCCATGCGCGGCTCTCCAGGCACTGGGGAGCTCATGTGCCTCCATTCCTGTCATTTCTCTGTGATCTGACTTAACTCTTGATTCTTTTATGTTTTATTTTGCCAGCTTTATGGCCTCCTGAACTCGATTATTAGAATAAATATAAATTTTCTTAAAAATCCTCCCTATCTCTGTCTTTTCAGTGGTGTTGGGTCCTTTCTCTCGGCTTCTAACAGGGTCCTGACTTCTGAGAGTCCTCCTTTTTCTCCCTCTCTGATTCTCAGAGTTCTGCTGGTTTGCTCCTCAACTGCACATTCATATCTAATATCTGTGGCAGTTTTAAAATCGACCACCAGTTGTATGTTGCTCTTCTTCTCAAGGGACCCATCCAAGCACAAGCAGGTTACTACATCTTTGCAGAAAGCTTCAAAGATTAAAAGAGAATGAATCAAAACGGAAAAGAAAAGCAACTTACAAGAAACAGACTCTGCAGGGAAAACAAAATAGAAAACCTGTCCACATTCCCCATCATGGGAATGTGTCCATCCTGTCCCCTGAATCTGGGTGAGCTATGGCTGCAGTGACCAACAGAAGCAGGGAAAAGTGACCCAGCTTCCTGTAGCTGCCATGCTGCAAGGAAGCCCAAGGGCCACAAGGAGGCACTACACAGAAGCGTGCCGGCCCACAGCCCAGTGGAGGTCCCAGGCCACAGGCTGTGGTCAGTCAGTCTCTAGCTGTACGAATGAGCACAATGGAGTTGGATCCCCAGCTCCTTTAGTGAACTGAGTCACTGGGCAGGGCAGAAACACCCTGTCCCCACTGAGCCAGGCCAGTTTAGTATCAGTAAATGAGTGCTGGTTGGTCTTTCCCTGCACTGAGTTTGCAGAGGTCTTTCATGCAGCAGCAGTAGATACTGAGGACAGCATTCATATTCTGATGTGTATTTCTCCATGTCTTCCTTTAGGACTTGTTTCCAACTGGCTGTCCTCTCTTGTATTAGCCATGGCATTCCAACTTGATGCCTGCTTTACGAGGCTCTTCCTTCTGCCCTGTGTCCTGGTGCCCTTCCTTCCCAACGGCACTTTGCTTTGCTGTTTCCCCTGGGCCTTCAGATGGGCTCCCGCTGACACCTGTCTCAAGTTGCTCAGGTCCTACCTGCACCCCCGTGGGCAGCTGCTTTATGAGCAAAGGCACAAGGACGGGGCTGTGTGGGAGCAGGTGCTAGTCACAAATACTCTCCCTGGGGCAGGCCAGTTCAACCAGTGCCTGCTTCTATTCCCAAGATAAGTGACATCCGCCATCCCCTGGCCACCTCCTGGAGTCATGTACTGCCTTTCAGGAAAAGGGTGAATGGGTGGGCACTGTCCTCTAGGGGGGCTTTTCTGATTATGCAGGTGGTGCATTCAGGGAGGATTCCACAGCACCCCCCTAACCTGTGTCTGGAGCCACCCCGTCCCCTGTGTTCTGCCACTCACTCATTGACTGTTCAGGGCGCCTCCTCTATTTATGAGAACCCTGGACATTTCTAGGAAACCTAAAGAGTCGATCCTTCTGTGACACTTGTCCCAATAACTCGGGACAAGTCCTGTTACACTTTCCAGTTGGTCAACACAGACCCTCTGAGTAGGCTGTGACTGCATTCCTGTGAAGATGGGACTTGCTCCTTTCTTTCAGTCATCAGTTCATCTGAGGGCATGCAGAAGGGTGACAGTCAGGAGTGAAGTCACCGTGGCAAGCAGGAATGGTCGTTGTGAAATGGTCCAAACACACACTTTATGTTTTCCTGAGAGTCCATCCTCAATTCTGCGTGATTTCTGCCTTAACAAACCAAGGGGTCTATTTCTTTTCTACTCTCACATGATTACCTTGATTTTTGATTTCCAGGATTTTATTATTTTTATTTCTTACACTTTAATTCTAATGGATACCAACAATTTCCACGTATTTAGTGGGAAGACATGGGCCCTGATCTGGACACAGATGATGATTTGGGTGGAGATGATGGATTTATATGATATTTCTCATCTGCTTTCTTTGACATAGGTGCAGATATGTGTACGTTAAGGGCTATTTTGAAATAGAGCCATACCAGATGCTCTGGAACAGTGTTCCATTAGATGTTAGTAGATACACCGTGAATCAGGTTTGAGAAAAACAGCAGAGGAAAACGCTCTTCTGAGCGTCAGTTAAATAAAAGGGCTTAGGGAAACCTAACAAGAATCAACCTGTCCAGCCCATAGTTCTCAAAGCTAATTTAGTGAAGGAACTCCATCCTTCTTTTTCAAAACAAATTATTGAGTATTGTTCCATGGAACATAATTGGAAAGAGACTAATTTGAGTAAATCTCAAGGTGTGACATATTTGAGTATTTCCATTTAAAAAAAAATAGAATCAAAGTTTTTTTAAAAGAATATTTTTTAGTTGAGATGGACACAATACCTTTATTGGTTTATTCATTTTTTATGTGGTGCTGAGGATCGAACCCAGGGCCTCACACGTGCTAGGCAAGTGCTCTACCAATGAGCTACAACCCCAGCCCCCTAGAATCAGAGTTTGATAAGAAAATTTTGGCATGGTTACTAGGGAATCTTCTTCTTCAAATCCTACTGTAGTAAAATAAAGAGGAGGTTGATTTACCTCTGGGCTTTTGACAACCTGCTGTTCTGAACATCGGGGACTCATTCCTACCTTGTAGTAGTTTTCATCTGCTTGCAGTGCTTTGGAAAGCCCAAAGTCGCTGATCTTGGCATAATGCTGAGTGACCAGCAATACGTTTCTTGCAGCCAGATCTCTGTGCACAAAATTGCACTCCTCCAAATATTTCATTCCCATGGAAACCTGATGAACCAGCTCTATGATGTTCTTATCCTTGACGTGCCTGAAAACCACAAGGCTGCTGTTAGGAACCATGGACGGTGACCCTCACTCCTCCTTCACACCGAAGATGAGACCCTTCATTCCCTAATCTCACACAGAGGCAGCAGAGGCAACCTTGTTAACGTAACAGCACTTCCAGATGGAACTCCATTTTCCTGATATTCAATAGGTGTGATTTTCACAGCATGCTTTGAATTGCAAGGAAGGCAGCTTAAAGGTGTGGTCATGTTCTGCCCAGCGAGGGCAGACTTCCTGTCCAAATCATCTGAGGGGCTGATTCTACTGCTGAACCGGAAGTGTGGGTAGAGAATGAGTAAAGGAGAACAAAAATGGATGGATTACAGATCATCTCTAAGTAACTGGACTCAGACACTGTGCCTCCTCTCTCGAGGTTTCTGAGCATCGACTACTGTGGGAAGGTGCAAAGGGTGAGGTTTCCCACAGAACTCAGGCTGCTCTGGGGTCAGCAGGGGCCCTGTCCCTCCAGGCACAGCATCTTGGCCTCTGGGCCCATTGCCATACCTGTTCTGCTGCAGATACTTGTTGAGCGGACCAAGCTCTGCCATCTCCATGACCAGCATCCAGGACTCGGCTTCACAGATGCCGATCATGCGCACGATGTAGGGGTTGTCGAGCTGCTGCATGACGTTGGCTTCTGCTAAGAGTTCATCCTTCAGGGCGGGGTCATTGGCCTCGTTTTTCAGGATTTTCACAGCCACTGTTTTCACCACTCTGAAAAACAGGGCGCAACCTGTGGGGAACTTTCCAGAATGACTCCTGTCTACAAAACTACCTTCCATGAAGCATGGTTCCTGTGCAGAAGTGATGTTATGCAAATACCTACAACAGCCAGGCCTGGTGGCTCATGCCTGTCACCCCAGTGGCGTGGGAGGCTGAGGCAGGAAGACTGCAAGTTCAAAGCCAGCCTCAGCAACTTAGTGAGACCCTAAGCAACTTAGCAAGACCCTGTCTCAGAATAAAATGGTTAAAAAAGGTCTGGGGATGTAGCCCAGTGGTTGAGAGCCCCTGGGTTCAAACTCTGGTACAAAAAACAAAACCAAACAATCTGTAACAGAGCGCATCTTATAATGCCATGTGATGAACGCCTAGTCTTCTAACCACGCTCTTTTATTTTATAGATGAAGAGAGTCACACCACATTACTTACAAATAATGGTGGGGCCCCATGCTAAAGAATGCCCCAAACCAAGCAGAACCCCGAAATGGTAAAATATTTAAAGAGCCTCTACATAAAACCAACCATGACATACAGGGATTTCTGTAACATCTTGTGATTTACCAATCAAGATCATGTGATCATAAGATTCCCTTAATAGCAATGGAAAATGAATTTCTCAGTGCAGAATTATGAAACACACATTGTTAAAGCTCACAGTTGGGAAAAAAAATACTTCTTTTTCCATCTGAAATTTGTTAATTTTAAGCAAGCTTCAACTTAGTTTGCAAAAATTAAGATTTTTTAAAAATATTCTAACAAAAAGCACCACCTAGATCATGTTGAACTCTTAAAAATATTCTAATATAGTGAGGCTTCAATAAAATAAGAGAACTTAATTGTACATGATTTGAAAAACTGCACCTCTCTGTGATACGATTCCCAGGAGGATGGGAAGTATCTCGTTGAGCCCCCAAACTGAAGAATAAAAAGAGAACTATCCAATAAAATAGATCAAAAAAAGAGCAGGAGACTCACTGTGACACACTAGAGAGAAAAGCACTTGTAACTTCGGGGAATGTCGGTAGTTGACCACGGTGGTCGCTTTCACACAGACGGGTTCAGAACATTAGAGCACCCCAGAAACCCCCCCGGGCCCTCCTGCAGACATGGAGCTACCCCTTCATGCCCTCTCTAGACAGCTGATTCTTTTGCTTTTCACATGTGGGTCTACCACCCATTGGGAACTGGTTTTGTGTATGGTGTGAGGCAGGGGTCAAAATTAAGAAGCCAAAATCTTTCAACTCTTGCAAATGTTTAAGGAAGAACCAACAAACTCTTCCAGAAAAATATTAGATGAAGGAAACTCCCCAACTCATTTTGAGGCCAGCATTACTCTGATTCCCAAAATCAGATAATTACGAGAAAAGAAAACAAACTGACTGAGATCCTTCATGAACACAGATGTAAAAATTCTAAGAGAAATATTAATACATTAAGTTCAGTAACTTATGGAAATATATAATGAACAAATAACGGACAAAGAGAGTCTATTCCAGGAATGCAAGGTGCGTTTCACCTTCGAAAGCCAATCAGTGTCATCCACCATATAAACACCATAAAGGAGACAGGCCACATGGTGGTCTCAGTGGAGGGACAGTGTTCAGTAAAATCCGGCATACATTCATTCTTAGAGAAAACTCTGAGAAGTGCAGGAATAAGAGAACACTTCTTTATTCTCATAGAGAGCAGCTAAAACCTATAGCTAACATCATTCCTAATGGTAAAATACAGGAAGTTTTCTCTGTTGGATCAGTGGCCAGGCTACTGCCCCCTTTTATCAGGCATTGCTTTACGGTTCCTGATTAATACATAAGACACACACCAACACAAGGATTGGACAGGAGGAAACAAAACTGTGATTCTTCATTATTCACGGAAGGGTGGCTGTGCTTACTGACTAGAAGACTCAGTATGGTGAAGATGCTATTTGCCCCCAATTAACCTAGAGAGCCTCTTCCCTCCCCACACCCTCTAGTGGGAATTAGGCACCTATGTCTATGTTAATACTTCATTAAGCAAGGAATTTAAATATGGCCAACTATAACAAGTTGAAAAAATGTGTGCCTAAATCCATGAGAATTAATATTCAGTTTTAAAAAAAAGATCGTGATTATATACATATATAAAAATAAGCATCGTGGACAATGTGTATATATATACATACATACATACATATATATATACCCCCTACACATATGCTCTGCATATGTACACACATATGGTAAATGCACATGAATATACATACACATATGGAGGGGCAGCCTCAGAAGCAAGGGTTTCTGTGTGTGCTTTTGCCTACATGTTTTTCTTTTCTCATTTACATTGCTGGGGATAAACCCAGGGCCTCTCGTGTGCTAGGCCAGCTTCAGCCCTAGTCCTCATCTATATTTTTGATCTTTGAATCATGCAAATTACCTACTCAAGAAAACATCACTTTTACCAAAATTTCTTCCATCGAGAATACAATGAAACAATGAACCCTATCAAACCTGTGTTAATGTTTTAACCTATCTGAAGAGAGGGCTTGTCTCAAAGGACTTTAGAAATCAGTATTTTTACGGGACATTCTATGTGGGATTCCTTCTAAAGATCAATTAAGATGCAAAGTCATTTTAGTAACGTAGGAATTTTAACTCATTTATGGTACATTGTGATTTTCAATTACACCAGAAAGAAAAAAAAATACAAGTTGTCCTCATGGTATTTGGAATTAAGAATTTTCTAGGTAAGAAAATCGAGACACATTATAAAATCCCCCCAAATAAGCGAGAACGCCATACTGTTGTTTTATTTAAATAAGATGATTCATGTGTGTATACAGGTGCATATTAAACTTCAAAAAAACACACATAACTAAGTGTAGTTAAGAGTGGTCGTGTTTGGGTATGAAGATGCTGTTCTCGCGCATTTGCTTATTTCCATTCCCTGATTTTCTATAAGGCGTGTGTACTAAAACTGAAATCGTTCCTACTCCCAGAGTTAGTACCCGTAATGGGTGCTCTCATTATAAGAATACCGGAAATAAACAAACTCTATGATGTGTAGAGAACTCGGCCATGTCAGGCTGGATCTTAAGTTCAGGACTAACGAATATCATCGATGTATTCTTAGAAGTTTCTAGAACGTCTGCTCATGGGGGGAGGATGATAGCGTAATGGAGCACCGCGACTTACTTTTTCATTTGGTAGTAGCCCTTTTTCACGGTCCCGAAGTTACCAGAGCCCAGTTCCTTGTCCTCTAGCGTGAGCAGGTTTCGGTCCAGGTAGACCTCCTTGGGCCGGATCTCCTCGGGGTCTGCATAGGGGCTCTCGTACACCTCTGTGTCCATGGGCATGGCTTCTATCTGGGGACCTGCAACACAGGCCGGAGACACAACCCTGAGGTGGGACTCCCTGTGAGGGTCAGCCCTTGGGTCGCCGTGGGAACGGAGGGTGTGACAGAGAACTGAAGGCAGGGCCGGGAGGCATCAGGAAAGGGCCCTCAACCCCAGATGGAACAGTGGGCTGCGGTGGCTTTAAATTAGGTCTGACAGCGATGGGACATCCTGCCTGCTGAGAGGTGCAGCCTAGGTCACCGCTCCTTCGCAGAGCGCAGGAGCAGTGACGCGTGACTTCCAAGGACACACGACTTCTGCCTCGTCTGTGGGAAAGCTCATTCCTGAAGTCTTGAGGTGACGTGCAAGGTGTTCTGAGGCCACCGTGTTGTGAGACAGTCCACAGCAGCCCACTCACAGCGACCAAACCAAGAGGACCTCTAGTTAGTACACGGGGGAGACAGAGACAGGCCGCCCTGGTCTTGCCCTGGCCCACCTGCAGGGTCCAGCCTGAGTCTACCCCATGGGGCAGGTCCAATCCCGACTACAGAAGTTAATTAAATGAGATATAACTGGTTCTCATTATTCTAAAGCACTGCCTTAAGGTGTTTTTATAGCATTGAACAGACTCCAAGTTCATTCACAAAAAGAGAAACTTGGAGATGGACACCTAGAGGACCCAAGGAAACCCTCCAGAGGCCCCACTTCGGAGGCCAGGCCATGACGGGGGTCTCTCCAGGAACTGTGTCTCCTCACGGCCCCACAGAGTGAGTTTCCTCCACACACCTGGAAGACGAGCGGCCCACACGTCTCCTCCATCCCCACACCCCGACTGGACCTTCTTCAAAACTAACAGTGGACACAGGGCTTTCCAAGAACATGACCCTCTCAGAACTGCAAATACAGTCGATGCCAAATTCCAAGGGGAGACCTTCGGAAGAAGACTCGTGGATGTCGTCCACGCAGCCAGTTTATGGAGAGGGTCTTGATGGCAGCACACTATCTCACTCAACAGGCCCGTCCTGCTCACGGACACATGACATCGCTGCTACAATCTTCTCACAACTACAGACCACATGCTGCACTTTGGAGCCAACTCTACCCACTTACAAGTGCCCATACACTTTGCTCTGCGAATGTCCAGAGAATAAAAGTGTGTTTCTCACCTCGCTCCGCAGCCCAGTGTCCTCGTTCTGGCTCATAAGGGTTGAAGGACGCAGCGCTCTCTGGCCGGGTCCTGGGGGACGGGGAGGCCTGAAGCACACAGATGACCCCATGTCACTTATTTCACTGACACACACTCAGGTAGGTCTGAGTATTTTTTATTTTCCAACAATCACAGCTGAACTTATGCAGGGAAGACAAAGGAAAGAATTCAGAAGAACGGAAAGGAAAATGAAAAGGGTTATCTCATTTTTCCAGCGACTGTTTGGATCGTGGAAGGAGTACATGCAGCTCAGGTCTGCCTGGGGTCTCAGAGGGTATAGGGAGACCATCCCCTCTGTTCAGCTACAATTCCCTCCCCACTTCTGTGGCTTTTCACATCAGTTTCCCACCTACCAAAAGATGCTGAGGATTCTCATGTTCCCCTTGGATTCATTTTCCTGCTCTAACTCTGTCTCTCTGATCTTATTTTACATGGAAGCTATTTTAAAAGGAAAATTCAATACCCACCAGCTGCTACCATCTACTTCCTAAGGCCAAGGCGTGCAGGTACATTTTATTGCCACCTGCTTCTGTGGCCACAGGGGACATCTAGCACCATCTGAGTGGATGCTGGCAGATAGCACTAGCCAGGAAGCTACAGGTCCCAAAGTCTGGCTGCCACCAACTCGGGCCATCGCAAAGCTATGGATCCTGTGAGATGAGGAATGTTTTTTGATTACCTGAAGGAAGGTAACAGCAGCCCATCTGAAGCAAAGCTTGGCGGGTCATTACAAACTTGAATAATACGCATTTGATTAACATCAATTTGCATCATGAAATAAATGGGGAAAAAATCTACTCCTTATATTCCTAAGGACTCTCCTTCTTGAACACATTATCCTGAATTTCCTGACCCATCTTCACCTTTAAGATAAATCAAGGTGATTGGGCTGGGGATGTGGCTCAAGCAGTAGCATGCTTGCCTGGCATGCATGGGGCACTGAGTTCGATCCTCAGCACCACATACAAATAAAAAAGATGTTGTGTCCACCGGAAATTAAAAATTCTCTCTCTCTCTCTCTCTTTAAAAAAAAAATCAAGGTGATTGCTACTAAATTTAGTTCACAGAAAATCCACAATCCAAATCCCTCCCTACTCCCCATTGGTATGAACTGAGTAGCAACTTTATTTATCCCAAACACTGGCCAGGAAGAAATGAGATAACACCAGATTTGGGAGAAGTTTAAAGAAACAGAGAGACACTGAAGCTTCACATTACACCGTCACTTATCTTACAGGACATACTAAATCCTCATCTGCCTTATTGGTTATAGGCTCAGAAACCAACGTGTGATAATGCGGTCATAATGTGCCACAGGGCCACCTGGCTGTGCATCTCATTGCGTCTTGATGTCCTCCTCTCCTGCTGAGGGCATGGCCTCCCGCAGTGGTGAGGCTAAAGGACATGAGGTCTTATCTGTCAGAGGGAGATCATCAGATCTATGTTCTCATGCATCATCCCGCATTCTTATGGATCTGTTTAAAAGAACTGTGACATATCAAAGATGACAAAAGTTCCCCGAGGTATACTATTCATTGCCTGCATGAGTGTCTGCCATATGCATGATAGGTGCTCGATAAAAATGTGTTAAACAAGCACGTGAATGGATGGATGGGTGGGTGGGCGGGTGGGTGAAAGAAAATCACTCCTTATAAATGGGAGGTGCCAAGTGTAACCTAATATTGATGCTAAGACGAGTTTTCTCTCCAGACTTTAATAGAGGGGAGTACGTACAGATTATTCCAAACGACAATCTGCCTCTTTCAAACATTGTATATGACTTCACTTCCAATTTATAATACAATTACCCTGTTTTCCATCCTTCCTGCTGAGTTCCCTCCCTCAAACAAACTCTAAGCTGGAATACTTTTTTAAAAGTTGTTTTTCAGGTTAACATTTACTATGATTTCGAATACTTTGATTTTCCCTATAGGAAAATTCTAGATCCCAAGGCAAAACTGGAACAGACACAGAGTTAAAGGATGCCCCAGGATAGGCCACCAGGGAGGAAGGGACCATGGATCCTTGCCTTAGGAACTACTGTCTTCTGCTCACTCAGGACACTATTCTGAGGCTTCAGCCTCGGCCCAGTAGAATGTTCTCCAGAGCAAGGGGACCTCAAAAAGACTTGTTACAACTAAATCGCAGTGCAAATACCTAACGTAGAAATCCTGCGGAAACCGTCTTAAAACACAGATGAAGTTGTTTAAAAAAATACTGGAAAGAATACAGTGTATAAGGACTAAGTAGGAATCAGTACTGATGGAGCCGGGGAGTCTAAAGTCCTGCACGTGAGTACCTCAGACTCAGGTCGGCCGTGTGTTACGCTCTCCTTGTCTTTCGGGGCTTATTATGGACAAGGAAACAGACTGGGGCTCTCCTCTGGAAATTCGGGCTCCATGTTTTCAGCAAAGGTGGCTCAGGGCTTGATTCTATGCTGCCCCACACAGACCACCCTGTGAGGAGGAGGCCTCAGGGTTCAGCCACAGAGAGCCCCGAGTCCCTCCATCAACCACGCCAGCTCTCTCCTATCTGGATGCCTTCATCCCCAGCACCCCCTGCTTTCTGGAGCCTGATCCGTTTGGAACAAAAGATGGCACCGCACTTGGCAGAACATTCTGTGGCAGAAACGGGGGGTTCCCACTGAGTCAGGTAAGAAAGCAATGTCCATTTTATGATGAAGATGATACAAATCCAAGTTCCACCTTTCCCTAAGGGGTCAATAGGCCATCTGGCCAAACACAACAGCTTAAACCTCGGAAGTCAAAACTTAGCTGACGAGAACAATCTGAGGCCTCTGTACGGAGTGAACACAAAGGCATGATGATGAATCATGAAGGTATTTGTTATTGCGTGACATTTAATGAAATGTTGATTTTAGTGAAAAAACATATGGCTGGTGAGCATTGCTATGCCTCGCCACCTTCCTTCTGCTTTATGTTTGGGGAATCTACTCTGCCCTGATCAACACTATCATCTTTTCTCCATGGAGAACAACAAGGCCTAAAGGAAATGCAGACAGTTCCTTTTACTCAGTTTTGCCAACACTCAGAACAGAGAACACAGCTGCTGGGCACCACTAGGTGGCACCAGCTACCTGAGCTTCTGACTTTCCAAAGAGAAACTGGAAATTTTTAAATCTCATCAATTCAGGTGATGATAGCCTATTCCATAGAAATGATTTAAAAGTCACGTTTGATTATAAGTTATGGTCCCTGGGATAGTATACAGTTTAGGTTTAACTGCAAACAGAAAATATTTTTGACATTTTTTTTTAATTAAAGTGCTTGGAATTTGGAAGTGAACAAGAGTAGGGGAAAAAAAGAATGCTCTTATGGCACAGAGAGATAAGCTAATTCCGAGTCTTCTGGTTTCCCAGTACCGTAAGTGTCCTCCGGTTTATTATCAAGATCCTGATTTTCACTGTCAGGTTCTTGAAAGGTGTTTTCAAGTGAGGCAGCTGTAGTCACGTAGGTGAGAACATAATCGCGATGGCAGCCAGTCAACTTCAGAGCTACTGGCTGCAGTAAACCATGCGTGGCTACCAGTGGTCTCCAGTGGAATGGCCACAGTCATTCCAGGCTGTGGGTCAGTATTAGGGTTGTTTCAGATGCACAGAAGCACACATGATCTGCACAAGGAATCTTCTCTCATGTGACAGTAAAGGTGTAAAATCTGTCCCTCTAAAACCACATGGACACCCTTTCTCGGTGATGTAGCCTGCTGGATTGGCACTGCCAAGTCAAAAGATGTGCCTGGAGAATTTCTGTCTTCCTGTTCTCTCTGGGGGGCCCTAGGAAATGAGTATTTAGAGAAATGTTTTTAAATATCTCAATTACCCATGTATGTGTTGAGTAAAACAGGAAGAAAAAAAGTGGGTTTTAATGAGAAATTTGGGGACACATCTCAGTCTAATCATCTTAGGAAATGTGTCTTTGAAATGCAAAACTGAAAAGCCACCTTCGGGTCTTTAAGGCTGATGGTCAAATTCTGCTCATTTTTCTTAATAGGATACATTTTTATCAATGTTTTTATTAGTGCATTATAATTATGGATAATATTGGGGTTAGAGGATGGATACAGTTTTGTGCTTATGTTAAAAAAGACAAACAGAATTCCAGGACTAATGACAAGAGGGATATGATTCTATGTAAGGACTCCCAGGACTTATATTCTTTAGTTAAATTCAGTTATATAAATATAAACACACGGGCTGGGGTTGTGGCTCAGAGGTAGAGCGCTCGCCTAGCATGCGTGAGATACTGGGTTTGATCCTCAGCACCACATAAAGTAAAATAAAGACATTGTGTCCACCTATAACTAAAAAATAAATTAAAAATAAGTGAATACAAACGTGATACTAATTTTTAAAGACAAGTTTAAAATGCATCTGACTCTTGTTTTTATTATGAAAATTTCAAATTCTCTAATCATTTGAAAATCAAAGCATACTTTTCATTAGCTGTATAGATGCTAGAGTTACTTTAAGTTCCAACACATATTTTTTATCTGAATTGTTAAAAACAATTGTTAATGTTGAGCAAATTAACAAGTTAAAAGTTGTTTACTCCTGAGTATAACCGATGGGCTACTTGACATAATTGTCACAATTCTTTAATCATGAATGGTTAAGCAGTGGAAAGTTCCTCATCCATTTTTGAGAACATAAGTATGAATTCTGCTAGATTTTTCCTGATGAATCATTAAAATATTTAATCCCTATTTTAAATAATATAATCCTGCTCCCTTACCAATTATCTACTGATATTTTTGGCATCTATGAAAACTTGAAGCATTACCAGCATTTCTGTATTCTTCTAGAATATTTCACACTATGTCAATACTATCTATCTGTCTATCTATTTATCTATGACTTTGCTTTTCAACAGTTAACATTGTATTTTGGAAATAATTCTAGATTTCAGCTTCTCTCACAGTAGCAGTTTTACTTAACTGATAACATTTATTTCCCATTGAAAGACATTTAAATTATTACAGGAATTCGACAATTTTCAGCATCAGAATGAGCACTTTCATATATATACATCTGTGATACAATTGTTTTATGTACTTCTAATTTCCATAGATGTCACAAAATTGCCTTTCTTGTAGATTGTATCGTTTCATTTTTTCTCTAATAAAGTGTAGTGTGATTCACTACACCCTTGAGACACAGCATACTAAGCTTTTAGATTTGGACCAGTCTCAGTTTCATACAGGCAACAGTTTTGGACAGGATCATGAGGTTCCATCCTACTCGTGATCCTCCCTTACTGGACTTGCTTAGCCTGCTCCCATAACTGTATAACCATAGTTTTAACTGTATGCCATAGTTTTAACTTGCATTTCTCTTATTATAAACTTGAGCAACAGTTAATATATTAAAAACTATATATGTTTACTTTACTCTCAATTACTGACTGAAATTCCCTGCCCATTATCCTCTTAGATAGTTAAATACTTCCCTTATTGATTTATAGAATCTCTTTATATATTAAGGAAATAAATATTCTATACATGTCATTGTTACTATTTATAATACTTACTCCCAGTTTTTACACTTCTCTTTTGGCAGTTATGCCTCTTATCATGTGTATATTGCTTTATTTTTATGTAGTCGTATTTACCGATTCTTTCTTTAGACATTCTCTGTAGTCTAAAAAGGTATACTAAATCTTATTTTCTAGGTATTTCCTTAGCTATTGTGAGGGACCTTAGCTGGCTGAAGCCTACTTAGAAAATGACAGAGGTTTGTCGTCTCACAGGATTGTTTTATTGGTTTTTCATGGTGATGGGTTTTTGAAATGACAACTTGGTTACCCTGAGCTAGAGTCATTGAATCCAACAATAGTCTCAGCACCGTAGTGAAAGAGTTCTGCAGACTTAATCACCGCACCTAAACAGTGAATTTATGTTAAGAAGATTATCCTGGGTGAGCCTGACATCATCAGTTGAGGGTCCCTAGGAAGAGAATATAGGTTTCCCAAGAAAGAGAAAGGGTAGCATAGAGAGACTGACTGATTTTGCCAGGGGAAAACAGCTTTGGACATGCCTCTGAGGTTCCAACCTGCTTCTGACCTTCCTTTCCTAATAACCTGCCCCATGGATATTGGACTTGCTAAGCCTGCCCCCATGATTTTGTAAGGTAAGTTCATGTAATACATCTGTGTGAACACTGATATATTATGAGTGTGTGTGGACATGCATATTACTATACATGTGGAGCCCATGTTACATATAACACATATACATGTGCACACGTGTAAATCTATGTAGTTAGTGTGTGTACATACCATATATACATACAGATGGGTATATGTGTGCACATGTATGCATGTGTGAATATGTGTGTACATGTATGTCACATGTGTGCTCTGTGTGTGTACATATATCTCCTGTTGGTCATGCTTCCCTGGTGGAACCCTGAGCCATCTGCCTGTAAGCCATAGAATTAAGGTGAACACAGGATGCTGAGGTCAAGGTACAGGGTGAAAGTGTCCCTCTCCGGGATGACGCATCAGCTGGGGACTGTGAGGTAGCTCGCAGGCCTTAGGCCAGGAGAAGTGGAATGATGAATGAAAAGGGGCGGGGCTCAGAGACGTGGACCACGCCCCTTCCCTTGGCCATTGGCAGATCTGGTGTCGGGAGGTGGCCAAGGATGTGGGGGGACCTGGGCCTGGAGCTGGGGGAAGGCAGCCTGTCCCCGGCAGGGCCTGCCCTGGGCTCTATGAAGCCCTGGACAGCGATGTCCACTGACGACGACTGCACTTTGTGAGTGTGGCTGCCCCAGGACGGCGGGCACTGACTTCATGACTTTGAGAAGGAGACTCATGCCTGAATGCACCCTGCCTCGGGCAGGTCTTGGAGCTCCTAGGCTTAGGAGACACCTCGGTGCCTGTTTCCCACTGGACACGACTCCTGCTGGACTGCAGCCATCTTGGCCACCCAGCAGGGCCTCTCCACACCAAGGGAGTGTTGCCCACGGTGAGCGAGCGGACAGGGGTGGAGCTGTGCAGGGTTCTGCCCGCCAACACCAAGGCAGACCTGGTATTCCCCCCAGGGGTGTGAGGGGCCGTTCCCCTCAAATACTTCTCTGTTCTGTGGTCAACAAGATCAAGGGCATCTGAGGATGGCTGTCAACTTGGAAAATTACTATCGAATAGGATCGCAGTGTGCTTAGGCTTTTTATTTGTGTTGATTTTAATAAGTAGCTTAATCAATCTCTTCCATGAGTTTAATATTCGATTAAATGCCAAAATGTTTGGGATAGTGCTGATGAATGTAAAAATGGCAAGAATGAACTTTACCCCCCACTGAAGACAAAAGTCAATACGAAGAAAGAGCAGTCCATGCCACACACACACACACACACACACACACACACACACACACACACACGACCCTGTGAATTGTGCATATGTGTTAATCCAGAGTTCAAGTTCAATTGTGCCTATGTGTTAATCCGGAGTTCATGCACATATGCATGATTCGTCATAAATAAAATCATCAAAAATGACTTCCCTCCTCAAAAATCCAGTCACACAGCCAAACACACAAATCAATTCGATGTCAACTGCCCCAAAAAGAAAAATAGTTTTTCTAGCCCTCCTATTCCATCTCTTTTCTGTTATATTTAAAGTTCTGTATTGGAACTGTGACAACATAGAAAGAATTGAATGAATACTAGATAATGAGTTAATATGCATCACAATCCTAATTCATTAACTAAGGTTCAAGTCTAATGAATTAGGATAATGGACTCTAATTCTGCGCTGGAACCTGTAGCAGCCATGAAATGGGAGGCGGGGCACACCCTCTGCATACAACCTGTGGTCTTTATATGCAGTGCACCTACCAAACCTGTTCCCAACAGATGCAACTGACAGTGCACCTACCAAACCTGTTCCCAACAGATGCAACTGACAGTGCACCTACCAAACCTGTTCCCAACAGATGCAACTGACAGTCAATCACATAACACGGCCCCGAGTGATTCTGGCAAGTCAAAAATTGGCTGTCTTTGAAAAGCTCTTCTGATAGGAATATTGGCTACCACTGATCACTCTCACTGCCATGACTTTGAAGATGCACTCGAGCAGCGTCAGCAGGAGGACATGGATGGACTGTATCACGAAGCAACTGGACCCACACGGAAAGCACGGTGCACATGGGGTGTGGGTGTCGCGAGCTGCGGGTGCAAACGAGGGCTGCACACGGCAAAGCACCGAAGCACAGCGACACGGGCAGTGGACAGGGAGGGCGGGCTGAGCTCTGGCGGAGCCAGGCCAGTCCTACCGCGGCTCAGGGACAGCAAGCAGGGGGCAGGGGGGTCACGGTTTAGCACCTTTCTGCCGTCCCGCTTTGGTAAGTAGTATGATTTGATTCTTGAGATTATTCCACCCGCTGACCAACTCTAGAAACCATAATGGCAAAGAGGAACAGAAAATTTAGTGTCAGAAAATAAATTCAGTTTGATTCAAGTGGATTATGAACTATGTAATGTTTTGAACGACCAACAATAAAAAAAATGATAAAAAAATAAAGAAAAAATTTAAAAAAAAAAGAAAATAAATTCAGGACAGCATACACGACATCCTACCTGAACTTGCTTCTGTAGCGGAGCTCAGCTGAGTCCCTCCCTACCCTGCGGGCGAGGTTGACTCTTGGCCACTTGAAATGCTTCCTGTAGAGGTTACTACTTGGGCAGAAGGAACTAGAAAAATATTAGGGAAATCTTTCCCACCCCTGAGCAGCCTCCTTGGTGGCAACAAAGACTCAGGTCCCAAGTGGCAATCGCCCCTGGCAGAACATACATTTCGATGTGGCTTTCTCTGGATCTGGCTTTTGGGGGTGAGGGTGGGGTATCAGCCACAAAGTGAGGTACACAAGGCCCACTTGCCTGGTGGCATTAGAGGGCACAGAGAGTCCACACTGATGTCCCCAAAGGAATGAGAACATCAATTCCCGCCTTGAGTATAAGTCTAGAAGGAGAAGAAAGGCAGGGTTGCTCTCCAGAGGCTGCAGGCACACACTGGGAAAACTCTGATGGAGAGGAGCAGTAGCCTCGTTCCCACCCCCTGGACATGAGCCAGGACAAGAGCTCTGGGCCAGACTCAGTCTCCCTCCTTCTCCAGGAACTTCCTTTGAAATCTCACCAAGCATCCACCTCCCAGTTCTCCTTCCTCTAAGCTTTTGTTGAACTATTTCCCTGATATCGGTTTATCACTTGGGAGACATCTTATCTACCTGCCAAGTCACCCTGCTCCACACGTGGCCCTGTGGATTACACATATGGCCCTGTGAATTGTGCGTGTGTGTGAATCCAGAGTTCCAGGCTGAACTTGAATGAAATGTTTCCTTTTCTCAAATCGGACAGAGGGCCTATTTCTGATTTGACATGGGCCTACAATCCCAGCAGCTTGGGAGGCTGAGGCAGGAGGATCACAATTTCAAAGCCAGCCTCAGGAATTTAGTGAGGCCCTAAGCAACTTAGCAAGACCCTGTTTCAAAATACAAAATAGTGGGGCTGGGGATGTGGCTCAAACGGGTAGCGCGCTCCCCTGGCATGCATAGGGTGCTGGGTTGGATCCTCAGCACCACATAAAAATAAAATAAAGATGTTGTGTCCACTAAAAACTAAAAAATAAATATTAAAAAAATTCTCTCTCTCTTTAAAAAAATACAAAATAGTTTTGAAAAGGGTTAGGATTCTGGTTCAATGGTTAAGTGTCCTGGGTTCCATCTCTGGTACCAAAAATAAATAAATAAATAGATAATAAATAGGGAGAATTTAACCCAACCAAGAACTTAGGAAAACTCGTCTAGCCTAGCACTGATAATAGGTTGGCTGTACCCAACACTCACTAGAAATCCCAGTTCATCAAGGGGTATGTTGTGAAGTACAATCAAAACCATGAACACTACTCTTATTAGCCAAACTCTGCTTTGCATTTGTGCTAATAAACATTTGCTTCGATGCCAGAGGCATGTCTAGTGACACTTACCACAGGATGAGCAGTTGGTCCTTGTTGATGAGCTGCAGAAGTAACATCTCCTGGTTACAAAGAGTGTGGAAGGCTTCCTCTGTACACATACCCCCCGCCGTTGTCCCCTCCTCCACCCCACACCATCAATGTGTCTGCACCACACTGATTCTTGAGAAGACTACAGACCTCTGCACCCATTTCTTTTTATCCTGTTCCACTAGCTTTCACACTGATGCAACTAAAATGAATGGATTTTTTTTTTTTTAAGTTAAAGGGACTGGCTGTCTTTTAAACCCATGGTTTTTAAAATGGGAGCACTCTGACGGCACGTCTAATCACTCAGTAAGAACCAGGCGTCATCCTACAGGAGCCTGGAATCAACCAAATCTGAGACGTGGTTGATTAGACCCATATCTGAAAGTCAGATACCCCTGGGTCCGGGGAACTCACCCATCTGTGCGCCAATTTTCTGACATGGAACTGTAAGAACTCTTAACAAACCATCTGGCTTGTAAGAATAATGTTCCACCAGCTGAAAGAGAGCAAAGGGAGAAAGTGTGGTAAACACCAGGGCAAGAAATGGGAAAATAGGGACAGAGAAGCACTGACCCCCTGTCAGACTTCAAAGAACTCAGGAGACACTTAAATCTCTACAGGTGTCTAGGGAGGTGGGCACCCAACCAGGGGTGTCCTCAAACCTTCTGTGTAAATGGCCAGATAGCGATACTTCAGGCTTTGGGAGACCCCTTACCATCAGTATCACCAAGTTCTTTATTTCTAAAACAATCCTTTAAAAACATTTAAACAAAAATTCTGTCTTCAGGGCCTGCACAGAAACAGGCCATGGGACAGACTCGGTCTAGAGGTTTGCCAGACCCCTGAGCTAAAGTAGATAATGTGAAAATAGAGCAGGGTCGTAATTACTGACTCTCAGTCAAACAATCCTGGGGTCTTGGGGTTGGAGTAGGGCACACAGGTACTTTCCAATGCTGTCAAGGAAAACCAAAGTCATCATGGTCACAAAAAATGGAAGACATAACTGGCTGGAAAATACACACTGAGAAGTACTCAGTGCGGGCAGAACGTTATGATATACCCAATGAAAACAAGAAAGTGTCTTAGAAAGGAACGTTCCAGCAGTTACCAACGTTGAGCTGCATCTCACAGCTCCTACAACTCTAGAGTGAGGCACAACCTTTGAAACTGTGAGTGAAAAACCCGTAAAACTGTCATTGAGAAGTCGAATAAGTGGCTGTATATAAGTGACAGGCCTGGGATCTAAGTATTAGACTCCTGATGCCTTTATTTATTTATATTTAGTTGTGTTTTTCTTTTTGCAATGCTGGGGATGGTACTGGGCCTCATGCACTCTAGGAACTGCTTTAGCCCTGACCTACAGCCCCAGCCCCTCCAGGTGCCTTTAAATGATTCTTGCAGGAGGCAAAAGACCGTGATGGGAAAAGAACACCAGAAGGCGACATTCTGTATTAACCTCCCTCCTGTGCTTGGAGCTCCGGGTACAGGTAAGCTCAATACTCTTCCAAATCAGTACCGTTAAAATAAAGCAGAGCCTGTGATCACCAGGGAGACACATGCTGATGAGCCCCATCACCAAAAGCCAATGCCCGTGTCATGAGTGACATGTGTGACTAATTATAATAACTGCTACTCAGAAAAGGAGTACCTTTTTTTCTGATTATAGCATTAAGAATGAAATCACACCCGGGAAGTCGCTCTAAAGGAAATGAGGATCTGCGGTCTCAGTTTTTAAAAACGGCAGGGTTTGGGGTCGAGTGCTTTCCTGGACACTGATTGACTACGTGTGGGTTCCTGGCTGGGCCTGAGTGGGGGCTTGTGAACTCGCCACAAGTATGTCCCTCACCCACGAAAGTTCAAGGTGGTTTTTCTGTGGGCAGAGACGGCTGTCTGTCTGTCTGTCTCCGGACTCACTACGGATTGCAGATGCCCTGGGAACATGGTGTGCAAAGGACCATCACTGTCAGGTCATCCCTGTCAGTAGGTGTGATCTAAAGTGGAGAGCAACTTGTGTGGCTCCCTGCAGAGGTGTGAAGAGCAGGGCGAACACTTTCAGGTGTTCCTGAATGTGCAGGTAACGCCCCCCATCGAGAGCAGAACAGGGCCAAGAGGAAACCACTTCTAGACCAGGGCTGCGACATTCCTAGACAAGCGGCACCCTGGAGCCCAGGAACGCAGACTTAACTTCACCAGGGGTCTTAGCTGCTCAAGACAGAGACAGAGGCTCTACCTGCAGTGCAGATGGCACCGGAATTCGACACCTCCTCCTGCATCTCACAGCTCCTAGAACAATCTGAGTCCCTGCCCCTGGGCCTGGCTCCCTGCCCATCTGCGTCTGTGTTTTGTGTCTATTTGTCTGAAAGACTCTTCTGGGTTCTAGTTAGAATATCTTAGAAGGAAGCATTTTCCAGTTCCCCAAAGCCAGGCTGCCTGTTCAACTCAGGCCTGAATGGTAAGGGACAGAACCTTCTGGACCTTTGTTGATCTGGCCCAATGGTCCTTAGGCCCTGGCTTCTCACACATGCAAGTCCCCTGGAGGTCAGGGAGCAGGCTCTGATTGAGGAGGTGGGCAGGGACCCCTGTGTGCTTTCCTAACATGCTCCAGGGGCTCTGCTGGTCTGGGGGCCACACTGTGGATGGACAGCGGCCTGTCCCCTCTTATTCCTTAGAGCCCCAAGGGCCCTGTGCTGCAGCCATGAGGAGGGAGAGGACGACGTGTACCTGCCAGAGTGTGTCGAACTTCTTTCCGTCGGGGATGGAGAGCTTCCCCGTCTTGTCCTTGTCGATGCGATAGTGCAGCACCTTCCCTTCGTGCAGCAGGCACAGGGCGTAGGAGCCATTATTGTCTCGGGCCCTGATCCTGGAAGAGAAGACACTGGGTCATCCCCACTCCAGCCAGTCCTGAGACAGGAGCCCGGGAGCAGAGCCCGGGCCAGAGACCTGGCCGGCAGATGCTCTCGGGAACTTTCAGCTGGTGACACAGCCTGAGGGCTGTCCCAAACCTCGAGGGCCCAGGAAGCTCCAACTTGTAGCTCGGGGAGGCTCTGCCAGAAGAGGCTGGTGGGTTCAGGACCAGGGCTCAGGTCTGGCAGGGCCCCAGCAGCCCTGGAGGGTGAGCCTAAGGCTCAGAGGACAGCAAACACGGCTCAGGGTGACTCGCACAGGGGACCTTGCCGGGTTCTGAGGGTCTGTGGAGGGGGTGGGCTCATCTCCTTCTGGACCAGGGTCTTGGTTTGGATCCACCCTAGATGGCAAGACCCCCAGCCCTGAGGGAGGGGTCTGGCGGGGAGGGGTGCAGGGCGGGCACTCTAACCAGGAATTTTCTGGGGCACAAATCTAGGGATGTGAAGCTTCTGATCCTCGGGGCCTTCTTTACTCCTTCCCCTCTTCCTGATGCAGGGGCAGGGCTGGGGTTCAAGATGGTCAAATAGCTGAGTCGGGTGAAGTCCTTCAGGGAAGAACGTGCCGTCCACCGGGGAGTGAGTGGCCGGCAGCACCGGGGCTGCTATCTGTGGTGCTGATGGTCCCTGAGAATCCATTGTCATTGTCGTCATGGGTAACCTTCAGTGCCACCTGGTGTCCCAGGGGACTGAGACTTGGGATGTGATGACAAACAGATGAGGACACCCCCTCATGCACCATGAAGTCTTCTGAGCATCTCAGGTACCACCAGACGCAGCCCTCTCGTCCCTGTTCGGCCTCCAGATCATGAGGTCTGATCAAGGTGAGTCACAAAGGCGCCAGGAAGCTTCTCCAGCCCCGGCATCTGCTCACATGAGGAAGCAGAGGTCGGAAAGCAGGAAGCCACACGCCCAAGGGGACATGCTCAGGGGAGAGCTCAACTGTGGCCCAGCTGCCGCGGAGAGTGTCTGGGAACGGGGGGATTTCTGCTGCCTCTTCTGGGTTGCGAGAGGCCACGGTCACTGTGAGAGTGAGGTAAGCTCTGGAACGGGATGTGGCCACACTGCCCTTTCCCCCACCACATCCTCTCATCTCCAGAATCAAGACCAGGACTTGAACCCTGGCGTGGGGGGCTGGGACTTGAAACATGAATTTCTTCTCGGGTGGTGCTAAGCCGGGCACAGTGGCCAGCTGCGTTCCTCTATGCTCCGCTGCTCAGGGCGCAGGCCAGGGGGCAGATACACACCCAGACCCTCCCCGGCTCTGGTTGGTGACTCTACTGAAGCCTCCCGCTCTATGAAAACACCCACACCCACAGAAACAGCAGCATCTCAAGATTGAATTCCTGTTTCACAGTCACGGGTCACTTAAAGCCATAGTGGGCTCCTGGTGAACGAACCCCCCTACCCCACAAAAAAGCACACAGTGCAACATAGTTTTCGATGGACGAAAACGGAGTCTACTCTCTAGGGAAGCTAGTTCATAACGTGGGGTGATTCATGCTTGCTTTGTTTATCTTCTAAACATCAGTGGCTCACAGAATTGTGTGGATGTATAAACAATATCAACACCCAATCATTAAGCATTATGCACATATGTATAAGAGTTGGTCTTGGGAGAAGGATGACCAGAGGTCACATCAAAATTCTTCTTGATTTAGCTGGGTGTGGTGGTGCCCGCCTGCAATCCCAGCGGCTCAGGAGGCTGAGGCAGGGAGATGGCTTGGGCCCAGGAGTTCAAGGTCAGCCTGTGCCACACAGTGAGACCCTGCTTCTTTAAACAACAAACCCCCAAATAGACACAGGAGATCACAGACTGCCCAGGGTGAGCATGCAATCAACCTCATGAGAAATCTGGCAGATGCAAACTAAGGCCACCACGGAAATACCACGAGACTGTTCCTCCCGGCAAAACCCCCAGAGACTGATAACTTCTGATGTTGTTAAAAATGGGGGGGCAGCATTCTGCTGGTGGAGCAGGCACTGGGTAAAGCGCCCCTGGGTTCAGTCCCCAGGACTGCAAAAATAAATAAATAAATAAATACAGTTGGGCTGGAATGTGATAACAGCTCTGTCAGGGCTCACCTGTGTGCAATCTGGATTTTCACTCACCATAAAGTAAACAAATTGCAATCTATTCATACAATATACCAAAGCAATAAAATGACACGTGGCAGCCATACGAAGCATCAGTAAGTCTCCCAGACAGAAAACTTACTCCAAGAACATAAAGTCCCCCCAAAGCAAACTGATTTATACAGAAATGGACGCCTGGGCAGTAAAAGTAAAAACAAAACCAAAAACCACCAAAATGTCCAGTAAGTGGTCCCTCCCAAGAGGACTGTGTGGAGGGAGAGGGTCGAGTCTTCTGGAACTCGGGCTGGATTTCACTTCTTGACCTGGGTGGTGTTGACTTGGTACCTACTCACTAGGCTGCCCCTCTGGAGAGTCTGACACTCTCAGGTGTTTTATATCTCACAATAAAACCAGCATAAAAAGAGCACTGGATCAAAGAGGCAGCGGAGACCACCTCCTGCTTTTGAACACGTGTTTTCTGCGAGACCCCCACTTTCTCAAGCTCCCCAAGGGAAGGGGTCCTGCAGATTCCTGCTCTCTACCTGGCAGCCCCTGCACGTTCCCCGAGACAGGTAGCTGGCAGGTGTGGCAGCTGCTGTGGACACGCATCGTGAGCACTGCCCGGGGCAGCTGGCAGGAAGTGAGCACGGAGAAGGGAACCCACAGGCCCAGCATCTGCAGCTGGCGGAGACCAGAAGGCTTCGGCGACATTAACAGCCAGCAACCGGGAGCCGGCTGCTGGCTGCAGGCAGGTCCTGGGCTGGACGACACTGAATTTAAAATACGAGACAAATGGCTTTGGAACCTGCCTCCTGGCTCCTCTTCTGGGCCACCGCGTGTTCCTGAGCAAACTCCCCTTGGCAGGTGGTGTGGGCAGCACCAGGATCACTGAGAGAGCCAGCACAGTCCTTGTGCCCTGTCAGGTCCAGCAGGCCTCGGGCTGTTCACCAAAACCTTGGACTGTTTATTTGGAAATTTTTCCCCAAAGATTCCCTTAGAAGAAGCTAACAGATCCGTGGTTTGCCCTGAGAAAGCTGGGGGGTTTCGGGGCTTGATCTCAAGGTTATGCTGAGAAGTTGTGCTTACAGACCCTAGGTCAGTCCTTGTCCTCCTTGGTGTGGCTCCCCTCCTGGGGGGACAGGCCCAGGCCTGGGCTGGGAGGCCTCCAACCTGTGCCATGCAGAGGGAGACAAGAGGCTAGTGTTTCCAGGCTGGGTACCACCTGGAGGTGCTGACCCTCTTCTTCACCCTCTTGTGTCCTCCTGGGAGAAAGAAATGCGTGGTCGTGACGCTGGGCACCGAGGGCCAGCTGAGGACCTGGGAAGTGGTGGACGCTTGCCCAGGCAGCCTCTCTGAGGCTTCTAGGACAATGACAGAACTGAGCGCCAGGCACGTCCCCGCCCACTCAGTGCTCCTGTTCTCCCTTGACATCTTCGTCCCTCTCAGGGCAGAGTAGAGCATCACTGGGCAAGACGTCATTCCAGAGGGGACCAAGGGCACCTGGCCTCGGCTGTGTAGGCAGGAGGGACACTCACTGCGGCTGCGAGGCAGAGGGTGCTCAGTTCTCACTCAGTGGCTTCTCCAGAAAGCAGGGCTAGGGGAGAGGGAGGAGGGAATGCGGGAGGCCTTGGCGTCCTGAAGAGTGTCATGCCACTCAAGAGAGATGACAAGGCTATGGATCCCCCAAAGGCACAATAAATAAATGAAATAAAAAGGCAACTTGTAGGGACTTTGGCTCTGTGCCATCGCAGTGTTTAGGCACAGCATGCAGAGGCCATACAACACGGAAAACGAGGTCAGTCCAGAACGCAATGCACGTCGGGGACCGTGACAAGTTGCTTTTGGCACTTCTGCCTTTTAAGACATTTTATCACTCTCTGTTGGGGTCTATGAGGGGTGGAGTAAGTTCATGCTTCCTCTCTTTCAGCGTCACTGAAACTTGTGTCAGCACCGTTGAGCTGATGTGGGCACCGCCCTCAACTGCCTTTGAACACTCATTTACCTTCAGACAGGCTGGGGTGTCCTCTGCTGGCCTATGACTGCAGAGCCACACACATCGTATAGAAGGGCCCACTTTGATCAATCACGGCCACAGAGGAGAGCTCTGACTGAACTTGGTTTTCATCATGGCATCGGAGGCTCACAGCAGTCAAACAGCCCCACCCATAACGGACAAGGAGAAGGCTTCTGTAAAACGCATAGCTCACTTTCAAAAACTAGAACTAAAATTGAGGTGAAATGTGAGAAGGGAAAAGGTGAGTATCAAATAAGAGCAAAACAGTGGGTTTGGTCTAAGGGCAAACACTGATACTGGCGTTGCAGTGGGCAGGGGTGACCTCTTAATCCAGCAACCAGGCAGGCACTGGATATGAAGTCCACGTGAACAGGGCAAAACCCCTTCAACTCTGGAGGAAAGCAATCCCAATATAGGACACCCAGGATTCCCACGGATGAATAGCAATCGAATTATGAGCACAGAAATGATCACCCAAACACAAGGGAACACAAACTATGAGAAAAGGGCCATAGATTAAAAAGAGAGAGGAAGACACAGAGATTAATCTCCCCACCCTGTTACTTTCAGCATTTGAAAAAATCAGATATGGAATATAAACTATGTATGAAATGTTTAGAGAAATCAAAGATGGGATAATAAAAATTACTAACCAGCGTGATTCTCTCAAAAATTCCCAGAAATATTTGAAAAACTACAACTGCTAGAAATTTTAAAAAAACATAATTGATAAGGAAAAATCAATGAGTGAGTATAACAGCAGATTAAAAAGAGACCAAGCAAAAATTAGTGAATTGGAAAACAAATTCAGTGACATTACCTAGTGGAGCATATAGAGAAAAGTGATAGAGAATAAGAAAGAATTATGAA